CAGCTAATCGTCGAATAAACCAAGTAAGACTAACAGCAACTTGAACACTAATATATTCAAACTGTCCTTTATGACATAAATGTCGTTCAGTTTCGGATAATTTTAAAACAGCTACTAAACTAAAAAACATAAAAAGAATTAAATTTTTTATATTGAAATTATCTCTTTAATTTTACCATTGTGTAATAGGACTAACACCTTGCATTACTTCATCACTTAATTCTAACTGTGATTGTTGAAGAATATGTTGAGCTATTTGAACACATTTATTTAAATCACAATATTTAACTTGTTCACTAGAAAAATTCATAATAGCTTCAGGTATTGTTTTTTGTTCATCAGAATCATATTCTTCTGTTAATACATGACCACATATTAATAATAACCAATGTAAATCATCATTTATTCGATCTAAAATATTTGTATTGATATTCGATGAACTATTATTCATCATATTATATAATTTTTTTGTTCGATCAATTAATAAACGTATTAATAATGGTAAAGCATAATCAATTATATGTCGTCCAAAGAGACCAATGCATATTAATTGTTCACTAAACAAAAAAATGAGATTCATAAAACATTCAAAAAGTTCTCGAATTAATTTTATTTCAAAACTAATCACAAGCGCTATTGTATTAGTTTTGACGCCACTCACTCGTTTATAAAAATATTGCGCTATATTTTCTATCACCAGATATACACTGACAGAAAATCAGAGAAACTACTGAATAAAAAGTGCATTAATTTCAATCCTTTTTTTGTCTGATATTTTGAAACTTTCATGATAAACAGTATTCCGATATTAATAGGTCTCAACGCAAATGATTAGTGATGAAAACACTGTATTTCTCCGTAGGGTATAATAATGTCTTTTTTTTAAATACTTTTTTAATTTTCCATCTTTCAAAAGCATTAATCTTCATTTTCCTACTAACAAATATAGATTAGCATGTCTTTATTGTATTATAGATAGGATACTTTATCCATTGTAATCTTGAGGCGTGCGAACGTCTTCATTGATGACTGCACTCGTGAATTTTTCAGAATGCAACCTGATTAGAGCAGAGCACTTAGTTGAGAAAATTTCAAAACAAACTATTAAAATTAACCGAAGATTTCGATCATTTTTCGACTATTCTCCCAATTCTCATATGGAAATTACCCAGAACTACCTTCATAAATCAAGCAAACAAACACCTTGTGACATGAAGTTTTTATTGTTGATAGAGATAAGACTGAGTTATCAAATGAGGGGTGAAGAACCAATCATCAAATACTGATTAGTCCTTGGGATCAAAATTCAACATACTCTATTTATAGACAAACTATAACATTAAAGGATTAAAGCTCAGGTACTTTTTATCTGGTAACAAGCTTTTTTTGACTATTGTAAAACAAAAATATCGATTTTTTGTAATTTTCTATGAACAGATTCAGGAGAAATTCAGGACATCAACAAAGAGTTCAAGAATACAAAATGAAGCATTTTCTGCCTAAAGAAATATAATTTATTACTGATGAAATAATTACATTCTGAATAAATTCTATTCTTTTCCCTCTTGAAAGAAAACTTCATTTACCTAAATAAATCTCTATCATCATCATCATTATCATTATCAGCTAAATCAAAATCATTAGTTTCATAATTATCATTAATATGTAAATGTGTTTGAAGATACGTATCAAATATTTCAATAGCTAATGATCTTAAATTAGCAAATCTTCCAAAATCAATTCCATATAATAATCTTGACCATGCTTGTAATAAACGATCAAATGTTTCTTTAGCTATTGTTGGATCTTCAATTATTTTATCTAATTGATTATTTGATGATGTTATTGTTGTTCGACATAGAAGTATTGTTATTTGTGACATTAATTGTAAAAATGAATTACATAAATCATTATTCATTGAACAAAAACCTTTTACAGTAAATAATGTTATTAAATTTGCTATTATATTTGAAATATCAAAACATTCAATTAAATTAATTGTTAATGTTGAATTTATTAAAAATGTTTGAACAAAATAATATGAAAATGTTGTTAAATAACGTAAACGACATTGCTCATCACTAACTAATGAACCATTTAAACAAGCCAATTGAGAAAGACATCTAAAATTTTAAATTATTAAATTATATAAAACACAAATATAATATTTACCGAAGTATCTGACAGCGACGTTGCAAAAGACTTTTAGTTTCATTCTAAAATAGAATTAAAAATTTTCAATAAAATATAAAAACACAAATAAATCTTACCATTGATTTGAGTGTTGCATAAATATGAAAAAAGAATTCGACAAGTTGTTGATCAAAAACTAATTGTTTCCAACTAACTGGTGGCCTCCAATCAATTGTTTCAACATTACTCGATGATTCCATAGTACGACGTGTATTTGAAAATGATGATGAAAAATTCCATAAAAGAATTTTTTCAATAGCTGTTAATATTGATGAGAATAAATGATGATCAGATGATTGTGAAGATGATATTGATGAGAGATTGCTTTGAAGTTTATTTAATAATAATTCAAAAACTGTTTTCAATTCATTTTCTTCAAAATCTCGTTTTACAGAATGACGTTGTTCAACAGTTAACCCAGCTTCATTAGCTAAAAAAAATATACAAAAAATGATTTAGATAATCTTCTCAAATAGAGCCTTATGAGATTAACGTTTTATTAAGATGTTTGTCCTCTTGGAGTATTAAGTTGTTCGTCCAGAAGAGAAAATCTGAATAAAAACATTCTTCGAGATATTGATTGTAAGTGAATATTCGATGTACTGTCAATATGCCAAATGAATCACAATGTTTATTCAATGTGATTTGTATCTGACATAATAAAACATATTGTTTTATGGGACTTGAATTCAATTCAAGAATATTAAACAACAAAGAAAGTTTTTGAGTCATAACTGAAAACACATTAACCTTCTGGAAAGTCGAATTTATTTTCAATTAAAAAATAGTTCTTTAATCAATTCATTCTATGTAGCTTCAAATGATTACCAAAAAACTTAGTGATTGAAGCAAAGATAACTTACGAAGGAATCTCTTCAGAGGTTGCTTTCTGGTTTCAATAATTTTTTACCTGCACATACTACATTGTGTTCTAATAAGAACTCTAAAATAATTTGGGTTCCTATTGATATTTGACTAAGCTATTGGATTTTTTCCAGGATCTTAAGTTTTCAGAAAAATCATATTTTTTCGGATTTCGATCTGAAACTTTACGTATATAGAGAACTTGACTAGACTAGTTTCCATTAAAAAAAATCAGTAGTTTTGAACAAAGTTTCTTCAAGATATAAAACGTTCAAGATATTATTCCTTTTCAATGAATAGTACATACAGTAAGGGAAGTGTAGGAACATCGTTTTTTGTTCACGGCTTCGATTTCAGTCTTGGTAGAAATTATTTTTGATCTCATCGAAACTGGCACTGTTTGAAAATACTTTATCCAAAGCTACTGAATTCTTTTATGGAAGCTAGTCTAATTGAATGCTCTATATGCACAAACTTTCAGAATGAAATTCAAAAATACGAGTTGTTGAAAGATAACCTATTGAATCGCATTGTGTCGTCTTATTTCTGCTCTATGGAGCTGAAAGTGTCGATTATCTTAAAGAGTAATCATTTCATAGTTCATAGAACTTTCAAAGGAATTGACAATTATGACCATTTTTTTTTTTCGATTATTTTAATAGGTCTATCATCATGATAGCAAGTGATATCAAACAAAATCTTGATTGCTGCATTCCTACTTCAATATATATATACAGATTGATATTCAACCTTGGATTTCATGCAAAATCTTTATTCAACTCAACATTGCAGTTTTGATAAACTCTGAAGAACTAAACATATTTCTTTTATACACTAGCAATCCTTCAGAGTAGATTCAGGCAAAAATTCTTCGAATACACGTGAATTATATAATTTTTGCCATCTTTTGAAAAACTACTCTGCTACTCATAATTTCCCAGAGGTTTAACACAACTAATTATTTTTCCTTGTGAAAATTCAATTGAAAAAATATTCTATAAAATATGCACCCAAGAATAAACCTATCTAAATCTGATCTAATTTACAATATATATATATATTAGTATATCAATAAAAATCTTGATTTGAACATTAACTTTTACAATTTTCTTCTATGAAGTTTATAATGCCTCAATTATTCTGTTTGTTGTTTTTTTTTTTAAATCTTCAAATTATTTACCATTACTAAAACTATATTCATTAATAAATGCATTAAGTAATGTTAAACCAAATTCAAATTCTTGTTTATTTGTTGATTGTAATAAATTAATTAATGCTAAACTAACAGTAAAACCACTTTTAGCCATTTGTGCACGTTGTGCTTTTCGTCGTTTATTAATAACAACTAATATTTGTAAAGCTTGTTCTCGTACATGTGCAGATAATGTTGAATAATGTGTGTAAACATATGATAGAAGATATTGTACAACTTGTTCTTTTAATGCATCATCTAACGATGACCATTCTTTAACAATACCTTCACGAAGTGCTGTTAATGTTTGATAAACAACATAACTTGATGATGAATGTTCAATTAAATAACGATATAAATCAAGTGAAAATTGTGAACGACGAAATTGTAAAAAAACCTAAACAAAGAAAGAAAACATTTTCAATGGAAAATGCTTGAAGAAAAACAAAAAAATAAAGAATTATTTATAGTTACTTTTTCAGCTTCACGACGTCTTTCATTTGTAATTGTATTTGCAGCTGATAAAAATATTTGAGCAGCATCTTCAAGTACTTGACGAATATTTTCCATATCCATTTTTCTCAATTTTATTATTCTTGAATAATAAATGAATCGATCGATGTTTGTTTTGTTTTATTCGACAGTTAACTATTCACCAATCATATGATCTTATGATACCATCTATCGGTTAGTTTTTTTTTTATATCAATGATTCATTTTTCTACAGATACGTACAGTCATTTTAGTTTCAATGGCACAAATGACATGTTGTCAAATTCGAGGCAAAAGTCCAAGTAAACAATTTATTTATTTTTTTTTGTTGGATTTATTTATATATTTAAGTATTTATATTTAGATGAACTTGAAAATGTATTAAATGATTTACATGAAGAATTAAATACATTAAAAATAGGAAGAAAAAATGTCAATAAAATTGAAAACATACGAAAATCTATTGTACATGTACATATTGTTCAGAATCAGACAACAAAAGAAAATTTAAGACAATTATATCATGGAGAAAAATATAAACCAAAAGATTTAAGACCAAAACAAACACGAGCAAAGAGACGATTATTAACATCTAAAGAAGAATCAATAAGTTTAGCTAAAACACAAAAAAAGAAATGGACTTTTCCAAAACGTACATATACTGTTAAAGATTAAGATTTATTTTTCATTTTAATATTTGTAATTTAATAAAAGAAAATAAAACATGATTCATATTTTCTTGTTTATATGTTCTAGATATAATTTGATGCCAAAGAAGAAACAAGTTACACTTCAGAGTAATATTCCCGGAAAATTTATTCCGAGAGATGATTCATCATCAGCATCAGGTATGTCTTTAAAAAACAAAAGTCTTATATTAAACTATAAAACTAATCAAGATATTATCTCGATTTGTCATCAATAAATTATTTTGTAAAGAAAAAATGTAGATTTTGATTTTCGTTTTTTAAAAATATGATTTTAAATCATTTCAATTGATCAGATTTATTGATGTATGATTCTGACGTAAATCAAGAAAACCACTAATGAGGCATTTCATAATTATTATATTCTGTAAATTTATCAAACTTAGAGTTTTTTTTTCTTGGATTACAATGAATGGAAAAATAATTTTGTGTTGACATAAAATTCTGAATAACGTCTCTCAATCGAATAGGTTTTCGATCTGGAACAAATATTAATCGATTTAATTCTAAAATGGTTGAATTACTTGCTTCTTCTGAATCATCATCAATAACACCTTCATCAACACAAATAAATAATGAAAATGAACCTATAATAAACATCACTAAATCATCTCAAAATGATCCAACATTATCGACTTCACCTGATATGACAGCTATTGATTCATCACGTATTCATTCAAGATTATTTCATCGACGTATTGTGACAATGCTTGAAACATTAAAAAAACGAGGTGGTAATGGTGGACCTACATCACCTCCAACATCACCAAAACTTTTACCATCATATATTGAAGCTAAATCACAACCAATTACATTCGGTCAACTAAGACAAGCAACAATATCATCTACAACGCAACCAACACATGCTTCCACAGTTATTGGAGAAGTTTCATCTTCTAGAGTTGTAACAGCTCGTTCATATAATGATTTAACATCAATAAATGTAGCTACAGACAAACAATCCTATTCTACAAATGTTAAATCATTAATCATTGATACTCGTTCAGATTTAAAATCAGTACCAATAAATAAATCATCTTCGAAACATCAAACAAATAAAGAACGACTTTATTATTCACCTTCGCTTCAGCAGTTACTTGAACAACATAATGTTGTTCCACCATTGAAACAACAAGATGAATTGAAGCAAGAACAAAAAGAAGAAGAAGAAGAACAGCAACAACAACAACTAAAGCCACCATTAACAGTTGATGAAATTCTTGCTACTTATTATTCTAAAGTTACACTACCAAACACTATCGAAACACAATCACCGCCACCACCCCCATTCCAACAGCCATCTGCCAATTCAAATAACAATATGGGTTTTTATATTCATCCATCACCATTAAGATGGAATGTTCCTCAAACCAATCAATTTCTTATTCCTTCTCCTCCACTTATATTAAATGAACAAAATAGAAATCGACCGCCACCTCCCTCTTATTCATCCAGTGTAGCAAGTGGTCCTCGACCACCTCTACCTGGTATGTATAATGGTTTCTTCATTAATAAAATGTATTCTTTTTATACTAGCAAATAATTTGGGTCAACATTTGATACATCCCTCTGCACCATCATCAATATCGAAACATGTCTATACTGAATCTCAGATAGCTCAGCATCGATTGCCGGGAAATTCACCACTCACTCTGCCAACATCTTTTTCACCCATTATGACGAATACGTCTATTCGACCTCCACCTCCACGTTATGAATTACCAACAACAAATATCGAACGCTCACATTCAGCAGTATCATCAACGAACCCGTCAAATTATTCTCAAACAAATCCGCCACAAGCTGGGTTTGATCGTGAATTTTCTCGTTTACTATATGGTAAAGATGGGGGGAAAAGTCGTCATCAACAACAAAAACGTAAAGCATTTAGTGATCCTGTTAAGTAAGAATAAATGCATCGAACGAGAGGAGCACATAAGAGATCAAATCGGCTCACTAGCACTTCGCCTGACCAATCCTGTTGAATCATAAATCATTCGAAAGGATATAATGCGACTAACATTGTTGTATTAGTTTCATGAAACTTTGATTGTTTTTTGAAATCTGAAATCTATCCATAAAGGGATGTAATTGTAATCATTATTCTAATAATCCCTCTTAACTATCACATTAGATGCAATGTGAGAATGAGCAGACAAAACAAAATATGAAAATTATGAATTTAATAAATGTTTGATGAACATACGATTCCATAGATAAATCACTAACTGATTATTTATATTAACAATATATAAGTTCTATGTACTATGGTAGTAAACATCATTAGCATAGTCACTCGGTTTATTAACAACTCTTATTTGTCAACAAATATTTTAATATAAAAATTACTATCACTAAAACTCTAGTATTGCTCACTTTATCGGTCTTTCAAAAAGCTACAAAATCATCTATTTTTTAAAGTCAAAACAATTTCTGAAGCACACTATTCTTAAGGTGCATTGTTATGTCTTTTTAATCAATATTTACGAGATTTCCATCAGAAAAAGTTCAATTGAAGCGAAAACTGATATGATATTTAAAAACAGTATCAAACCTGAGTTATTTTATGTGTGATATAAGAAATTTCTGGAATCTTTTCTTCCTCGAAAAATTTATCCCTAATTTCAATCGGGGTTTACATGAAAAATAACGTGCATCGAAACATTATTTGGACACTTTAACGAAACCTCGCAATGCGTTTGAAGTTGTTAAATGGCAAAATGGGAGATATCTAGAAGATAAAAACAAATTTTTCAACTGATTCATTTTTCGTCTAATCCGTGAGGAGGACTAAAGATAAGTTTTTCCACCAACAAGAAAATTCTAGAAATTCTTTTAGTCACAGATAAAACAACTCAGTTCTTTATGTTGGTTCTGTATATCATATTAATTTTCGCTCAAATTGAGTGTTTCAGATCAAAACCTTACGAATATTCATAAAAAAAACAAAACTACATCTGCAGAAGAGTGTGGTGAGGAGTTTTTTTTAAGTAGTCAGATAAATTTTTAAAGTAAATTATTTGTTCAAAGACAAGAGTGGTTGATATATATAGTAAATATGCTAATAAT